GGATGTCGAATGGGTTAGGGTACCCCAAAAAAGTCAGCCAGACGCGACATTTGCGCTGTCATTTGCTGATTCGACTGGGTGGTATTCTGTATTAGAGGATTTAGCATTGTACTTAAAGTTTGCGCCAACATTTGAACCATGTCGTGGTTGCTTTCGTCCATTTTCTGCCTCAAGACTGTTGTCGAGGCATTCGTAAGGCCAGGAATTACGTGGGACGTTCCTCCTAAGAGTTGGTTCCTACCCATGTTCTCCATACCAACTCCAGAGCCTTGGAGTGGCGAAGAGGCGCTCACTAAAGGTTCTGAAAAGGTGGACGTAGCGTTCGTCAGGCTAGTCAATTCAGAAGTTGGCATTCCGTAGGGTGGTTCTCGATTTAATCAGACTTTCGAAAAACCTGGGGGAACATATGGTCTGGTTCCTTGGTTTCCCCTTGGTGGGGGAGTTCCCAAAGGCATTCTGGGGCCTGTAAATGAAGGTATTGGCCCCGTTTGTGTAACCGTTACTGCTGGCGTTGAACCAGCGGTTACCACTTCGCTTATGGTTGGGATAACCGTCGCCCCCACGTTTGTTTGTGGGTTTTCTCCATTGTTTGGTGGATTCGCCATTTCTCTACTTCTTCTCCTAGTATTGGTTTCGTTGGTGTATATTCTACCACTTCTCAATAACATGCAATACTCTCGAAAAAGGAGTATATTTTATAAAAAACGATTAAACTCGTAAAATCAACACAAGGTCCCACTGGGCGTGCCAATTTGTTTACCGTGAAAAATGGTAAACAACCGCTGATCTTCCAAAAGGTAACTTATTTGGTGACTCGCAGGATCGATCAGATTGATCCTAAGACATGGCTGATTTTTATCGTTTAAATGCTTTAAAATAGAGAGTTTCGACTAATCCTAATGGTGATTAACGCAAGTAAGGTAGAGACACTTTAAGTAAATTGCATGGAGAAAAGCTTGATAAAGTAAATAAAAGCATTAAAGGCTTGTTAAATAAATGACTTTGACTGAGATAAATAAGTGAAAGCGATAAATTGCTTGAATGTAAAAGATTTCGATTAAGGTAAATGGTGTTTCACACATACATTCTCAATGATTCTTTCTCTCACACTGGGTACTTGAATCTAAATGAGTGACTTGTATACAATGATGAACACCCTTAATAACTACGTGAACACTTAGTATTTATACTAAAAATCCTAAGTAACTGCTGGGCAGTTACATCGCTTCGTGGTGACACCACATGGCACGTTCACAACCCTCGACGCCTACTTCCACGTCACGTTGCGCTTGGTAACTGCTGGGAACCGTTTTCCCTCCAACAATTCGAAATTCAAATCATTCGATCTTGGGCATCAGGGACCTTGGTCGAAAGGTTGCTCCTTCGACGTTGAAAACAACATGATTCCAACTTAGAGAAATTTCTCTAAGTATCTTGTCATTCTTTGATAAGCCTTCGATGTGATCAGCTGATCGAAGCCTTCTTGTGTAGGAAACTCTTCTAACTCATAATTAATGATCTATATGATAATAAAACGTGGGTGTCGAATTTAGGAGCCAACACGTGGCTGATAACAATTACTTGTGTAAAAAGTTAAGAAATTGGAAAATGCCATAAAAAACCAGGCCAATCCATATATGATCAATTTTTCTCAGGATTTCACCACAACACCACATAAGTACAAATCCATCACGTATCACCGCATAAGAGCTCATCCTCCATTTGATCAGAGTCCTTGATCTTTATCCAATGACTACTCACGATCTACATCGGAGAACTTAGAAAAAATTATATTCGTCTCTCGTACATAAACGTGACCCTGAATCATACCTAAATACAATTTAACTCATACTAACAAAGTTACACCTCAATATCATACTGACTTGAACATGGATGTGTCAAAATGGATGTGTCAAAGTTTTTTGCACTTACACTTTCCTTTCATTGGAGATTTGTCACCGAAAACACGTTGCCAATGGTCTTCGTGAACATATTTGTTCCATTAGAATACTACCAAAAGTATGTTTCATTGCCTATCATATATGCATCCGAATTATGATTTTAACGATCACTAGAATTAGATGTTGAAGCTACCTTTTGCAACAAGTTTTCCTTTCTTATTTGACAAGCTTTTCATAACTCACTTTCAAATAAGTATGTCATGCAAAATATAGATATTATTATTTATCCTACATGTTCTTCTTATGCAGAAAATGTCAAAACTATTACCCATTGCTTACTACATTTTCCGCGAGCCGTGTTCCTTTGACGATAATGGCTTTCAATATATATATATATATATATATATATATATATATATATATATATATATATATATATATATATATATATATATATATATATATATATATATATATATATATATATATATATATATATATATATATATATATATATATATATATATATATATATATATATATATATAAAAGGTTTCTTGAAGTTTTTAATGTGAACTTCATAAATTTATACAAAATATGGCTATCGAGGTAAATAACATAGCTCCACCACTAGAAAATAGATATTTCGTAAGATTATATTACAACGATCTTTCTATTAACCGTTGTAATAATTATTTTTTGAGAGTTTTTTATTATTTACTAAAAAGCAGTTGACTATAGTCTTAATTAAGAATCATAGTGAAACGTACCTGCAGTGTAAGGGTTCGAATCCCAACACCAACAATTTTCTATTTTCTTTGTTGTAAAATGAGTATTTCCTTGTATATCATCACAATTCATATTATCAACAACGATGAAGGTGTTATCATTTCATTATGTGTCTTATTATATACGGTGCTGAAAGGTGTTACATATTTATATATAAGAAAAATTATCTCTCGTTTTAGTACATAACAGTCGTCTCTCTCAAAACAAAACCCTAAAATCTCTCTCATTCGTCTCTCTCATATATCCTAATCTGCATTAATGTTTCTACAATCTTTCTTCACAAAAATGTAACATAAAAACCCAAAACTCATGGAGCGAACTCGTCTTCTTCTAACGGATACCTTTGTTACATCAAATATTAGGAAAGGGCTATGTTACATGTTTGGCTTCACAATAGTTTATGTTTCAAAATATGTTTAGAAGTGAACTTAATATTTGTGAATGTGTAACCTAAGAAGTGAATTATGTTGTTTATGTATCATTGTTTACGTTTCAATAGCTTGTTTCATAATGTTTGTTGGATAATATGATATGTAACTTATGAGTGAATTTTCTGCTGGTTTTAACTTGTAGGTAGAGAAGGTGAATAAAAAAATTAACGATGATGAAGTTAAAGTGAACGCTGAAAACTTGTGTAAAAGACGCAAATGATATCCATTCAATTTTAACACAAGTTTGCAACTCTCACTTCAGCTTCATCCTCCTTTTATTGTGGATGTCAGTGTGGAAGATGTACGTTTTTGAAACATTTTATGAGTTTATATGTTGTTATTGTTAGTAATAAATTTTTTATGTTGTATGTAGTTTATGATATATGTTGTTGATGATATTGTTGTTGTTAATAAGAGTTGTTTGTCGTATCTTGTATGTTGTTTAAGATTTGTTGTTGATGAATGTTGTCGTTAAAGTTTGTTTAAAAGACGAGTTTATTATATCTTATAGGATTTGAGTGTTTTTCCAACCTCTTATCGAATATATAACTTTTCGAATTGCATTAGAGAATTGTAATATGATAAATAAAATTTAAATAGAAAACAAATTACACCACTCAATGTTAGATAAGAACTGCATTTCCCTCTTGAAAGGTTAGAATTTGATTTAATGATTTTTATATAGTAATGCTTCTTTAATTATGTGGAATTTATAATATATAAAAAAAACTTGTCTTTTCGCATATGACAACAAGCATTTGATAATTAACTCTAGCTTTTCTCTCTCCTCAATGTGGAATTGAAACTCAGGCTTTAGGCATATGAGCAAGAAACTTAGGGCTGAAGTTTGTAAAAGGTTTACTTATTATATTATCGATAATGAAAATTATAAATGAAATGTAGATTAAATGTATTTAAATATTTTGTAGTAAAATGCTACAATTAAAGATTTACTCACTTAACTAATTAGTTCAATGTATATTTATCCTTAGAATGAAACATTCCTAATTAACCAAGTGAGTAAATCCAAACAATCTTTATTGAAACAATCTTCATTTAAACTTTAACTATCTTTAGAATGACCTCCAAATTGCTAGACTCAACTCCCATGATAACCAAGTACTAGTTAAAACCAAAAAATCACATTTTTCTCCTCCTAATCTATCATTCTAGCATTTTCAAGTATTTTTCCTCTTCACAACCTATAGTAGAGTTGTGTTCATAGATTGTATTTTTAGTGTATAGTAGTTGTGTGTTTGTTGAGTCTAGCTGCTCTTGTTTTTTCCTCTATTTTTTTTTACTACTTCTTATACTCCTAACTACTACATTATTTTTTCCTTTCTGTTATTAGTTTTTAAACGTTTGATTCAAAATCTGGATTATATCTTATGATCAATACTCCAGATGTATGGCATAACAGAAAATAAAAAAGGTTGAAGAATCAAACATAAAAGCAAAAATACATACATATATGTGAAAAAGTAATAATAATAATAATAATAATAATAATAATAATAATAATAATAATAATAATAATAATAATAATAATAATAATAATAATAATAATAATAATAATAATAATAATAATAATAATAGTAATAATTATAATAATAATAATTATAACATTCAAACAACATAATGAAAATTAAAAACTTACATATAATGTTTTCCTCTGTACATTGCTTTAATGTATGTATACAAACACCTCTTTCTTCCATCACCTCTAGCTTGCAAAGATAAAGTGTATATAGAAGGAGTTTTTTTAAAAAAAATAAAAAATAATTTTTTTAATTATATCAATATATTATATAATAAAATCTAATATACTATGGATTGATTATACTATATAATCTATACATAGAAACATATATCTATAAATTTACGGTGGATTAATGAAGAGCTCTGAGGCAGTAACAAGACATCTCATGACTTCAACTTGAGCTTTCAAAGACTGTATATAATCTAGGGTTTCATCAACCAAACAAGCATCATCCATGAATTTTCCACCTGGTAACAAACTCTTGAGCGTTCTTGTTCTTTTCTTAACCAACTTGGTTGCAATAAACCTTGCCTCCACTCTTCCCTTCACACGGTTTCTTCTCAAGATCTTTCTGCTTCCAATTATCCTTTTTCGATAAAGCCGACACGAATTAGTCGAGTTTTTCTTTGTTATCTTCTTTTGTGGTGATGATGTTGATATGTCTTGTTGATCTATGCTTGTTGAAGTGTTTGTAATAAATGCTTTTCTCCAAAGGGTAGTTTTGTCTTTAGTCGAAGCCATGGCTATATCTGCAGAAAGCTTTATGGCTTTCTTTCTCTCCAACAAGTTCATGTTCTTCTTTTCAGAGTTGTATTTTCTTAGACCCTTTATCCATTTCTTTAAGAATTCTCGCTTCAGTGAACTCAAATTTCGCATTCTCTAAATGAAAATATGTAGGTTAAGTTTCAACAAGAGGTTGATAATATATATGTATATATATATATATATATATATATATATATATATATATATATATAAAACATGCTAGGGCTTAATTTAACTATATTCTAGTTCTAGCCAAGGTTAAAAAATGTTCATTAGTGTAAAAACGAATGTAAATATAGTTGTTCATCGTTTTTAAGATAAAAAGTGTGACGACTGCAATTAAAATCGCAACACCTATATTGATTTGTATTTAAAACCTTGATTCTAGGTAGGTAGAAGAAATGAAGTAATTTTTGTAATTATAAAAAAATAAATATAAATTGAAGCATACCTTACTCAAACTCTTGAAAGGAGATAAAGTGGAAGAAGAAGAGAAATTATGAGTGAGTTTTGATGAGAGATATGGAAGAAAAGTGGAAAATGAGAAGATGATGAAGTAATGTAAGGGGAAGAATTTAAGTGCTTGAAAGATGAGAGTGGTGGGGCTTTAAGAGAGAGACATATGCACATGTTGGCACATGGAAACAATGGCCCACTACCTAAAACTAAATAGAGAATAATAATATTAGATTGTAAAGAAAACAATAAGATTAGATTAGTGGGTAAAGAAGAAGAATAAAGGTGACCTTAATCTAATGCAAACCTAACATCAAGTATCTTTGTTTAGAATACAAACAAAATTCACTAAATACGATTCACTTAGAAACAATGTGTACTTATGGCCCGCGAGTGGAACTTCGTGAGAGCAAGATTAGTACATTGCACCATACTAATTTTTTAAAATTAAGAAAAGGAAGATATTAAGATTAATTAAATTAATAAACAATTTACAACTGTTTTTTTTTTAAAATTAAGTTTGAAATTTGAAAAAAATGAATAATATAAAACGAGGTGTTACAATTTTAGATTTAAGACAATCAGGAATCGACATAGATATTTATTTAATGTTATTGATCGAAGATTTAAGTTTTTTGTGGAAGAAATGTGTTGATGTTGATGATGCGTATACAAGTGATAACTTTAAGTTGTGTGCCATGTTATTTTACATGTTTTGCACAATCAATGACTTTCCTTCATACCTTACGTTAATGTTGTCTTTGGAAAGAAAAAAAAAACAGCGGAAAAAAATATTTGGAAAAAGAGATTGTTGTTCTTTGATCTTCTATACTGGTCTAGTCTAGATGTAAGACATTGTCTTGATGTGATGCATGTGAAAAAAAATGTATGCGATAATTTGATTGGAAGACTTCTCAACATTAAAGGCAAGACAAAAGATACTAAGAAATTTCATAAAGATATGGTTGTGATGGACATAGTATAAGAGTTAGCCCCAAAACAAATATGAAATAAAACTAATTTTCCCACAATAAGTCACACTCTGGCTAAAAAAGAAAAAAACTTTTTTGCGAATGTTTTGCACGGTATCAAAGTTCCACAAGGGTGCTCATCAAATATGAAGAAATTTATGTCTATGTATGATCTCAAGTTAGTTGACTTAAAATCTCATGATTGTTATGTCTTAATGCAACAACTTCTACCAGTGGCTATCTGTGATATTTTACCAAGAAATGTAAGTGTAACTATAACCAAAATGTGTTTATTACTCAATGCTATATGTAGTAAAGTTATTGATCCTGGAACATTATACGACTTGGAACATGAATTTGCAATTATCTTATGCCAATTAGAGATATTTTTCTCTCCATCATTTTTGACATTATGGTTCACTTAGTTGTTTATCTAGTAAGTGAGTTTAGAATTTGTGGTCTATTTTATTTAAGGTGGACGTATCTGATAGAGCGATACATGAATAGTTTTAAAGGATATACAAAGAATCATCACCATCTGGATGCTTAGATCGTTGAAAAATACTTTGTAGAAGAAGTTATTGATTTTTGTACAAACTATTTGTCAGAAGAAAACTCTATAGGAATTCATGAGTCTCATCATGATGGATATTATGATGGTAGAGATATTCAAGGTTTAAATATTAAGATATTTAAATAATAAATAGTTCTGCAGGCACATTTGTGTATATTAAATAACCTTAGTGATTTACAACCTTACTTGACGACTCACAAAAGTCTTATAAATAAATAAAACGGATGAATGAAAGATGGTTATTGATAGAGTATAATAAAACTTTTATAACTTGGTTTAATGAAAGTGTTTCTAAAGAGAGTAATGTATCAGATACAATTAAATGGTGGTCACGTATGCATAAGTTTAATATAATTACTTGGAGTGCACATGACATTACTAAATATTCATTTTATACAAAATGAAAGGATGATCCTATCACCTTGAAAAATATGAGGTTATGGTTGAGGTTGAATCCATGTACTTTTCTAGTTTTAAAGATAACAATATCATACTGGCATCTAGAGTATACTTTGGGGCTATTGAGGAGATATTGGGGATTGACTATGTTTATTTTAAAGTACCTTTTTTTAAGTGCAAGTTGATTGACAGTAAAACCATTATAGAAAATGATGATTTAGGATTCACACGGGTTGATCTTCGAAAGGAAACTTATAAGAACGATTCATTCATCATGGCAATCCAAGCAAAACAAGTTTTTAATGTTATTGATCCTGCTAACACTAAATTGTCAATTGTTCCTCAAGGAAAACATATTTCTAATATCAATGATGAAAATCAATATTTTAACTATGAGACTCCTTGTTTATTAACACATGTATGACAATCATCAGAAGAAAATGATTCAGATGATGTGCATGTTATTCATCGTGATCATGAAAAGGAGATATGGAAAAACTTGTAAGTAAATGTTTTATATCGCTTAGTAATTTATAATTATTCATTTTACTCTTTTGTATTCCTCATAATATAAATGTGAAGTTTTTGTTGATTATCCTAATTGGTTTCAAATGTTGTTCAAATTATAGGTGTTTAACGATCAATGACAAATCTTATTAGACAACCTATAACTTTCCAGTTTGGTTATTTCTTTTGTTGGCTAACCACTTGTTTTGGTTTTGTTATAAAATTATAAAGTGTGTGATATTTTGAGTTTGAATTTGGTGTAAACAATGAATATTTATGGTATAATGTTTCAAATTGAAAAATTGGCAAAATGTTTATGTTTCAGAAATCTTCCAAATATGGTCCTGTAATATAGGTGGATACGAAAGTAATAAAAATATTACCCTCCCAGTTTTACCTAAAACCGGGGTAATAACATTTATATATTACATCAGGGTAATAACATTGATATATTACACCGGTTATACACAACATCGAGATTTAATATTGAGCGCACCATCCAGTTCTGAAAATAATAAAAATGTAGACACTGGGGATTGAACCCAAGTATAAATAATTTTACCTTTGAATTATTTAATAACCGAGGGTATAAGTGGTAGCTTTTCATGACTCCCTTCATTACCTAGCTATCTTAGCCGAGGTTAAATTCATTTCACGTCCGATGTTAGATGTGTGTTTTTATAATAGTGGTACCAACTTTCACTATAAAACAACCACTATTATTTCATTCATCATCAACCATTATCCATACTCTCGCATTGCATAAAAATAATCCCACCCTCATTAAAGCTCAAACTTCTCTAAAACCTAAATCAAAGTTTCACACTGAAACTCGAATAAAGGTGAGCCAACCCTACACTCATCTATACTACACAGTCAACAAATACAACATACAACAACAATAGTAAAGAAGCGGGAAATTGAAGAAGAAGAGTTGTTGAAAAGGAAAGGTCAGAAAGTTGACACATACCTCTGTGGAGCTTCTCTTGGTAACATACAATTAGTAAATCTTCTCGCCACCGTTGACTTGTGGTAGCTAGACGTTATCATGTTGTTCATGTTAGTTTGCACGAACTTGATCTTTGTTTGAATTCTCTTTGAAGACCTATCTTACTTTTATGCTTCTGAACTTGATTTACTTGTTGTTTGTTGTTGTACTTCGTTGGAGTTGTGTTTAATTCTATATTCTTTTTAGGTATACAGTAAATAGGGTTAATTTGGATGTTAAGGTTTTTCAAGGACCTTAGGAGTTCGATTCAAGGTTTCCCTTAGTTTGTTGCCTTATCTATTTTGAGATTCAGGTTTAATGTTGGTTGTTGAGTGATGTTTATGTTGGTAAAATAGGGGTTTGAGGTCGTTTGGCCATAGGTTAGAGGTTGGGTTTTCTGGTGAGAGAAGAAGGCCTATCTGACCTTTTGAGTGAGTATTTGTTGATTTTAAGTTGGTGAACACCGAAGAAGACGATGGTGCCACCTTTTGCCACCACGAATCTTCGGCAAAGAGGATGGTAGGAAAGGTAACATTGACGTTGTTTGCTTGGGTGGCTGTTACAGAGCATTATAGGGGGTTTGAGAGAAAACGAAAGAGGAGAGAGTGAAAATGTGAGAATGATGCATTTTGAAGTTTTTTTTTGGTTTTTCTATTCTCACCCTTATCTGTCCAAGGTTAGACACTTGTCGTGCATTTGTCCATGTCGTTTCATCCATCATTACACCCTCACTTTAGTTATTGTGGTCATATTTTCCCTTTTGTTGATTTCGTTGTCTCTCCCAGAGTCTTCAGATCATAGGGTTTTGATTGTGTCAAGATTATTGACTTTGACTTGGGCTAAGGACTATTGGGATTTGTCCCCCAATTTCCTCTTACACCCTGTTTTATTTTTGACTCCATCCCCCCCTCTTCTTCCCTTTTGTTATTTGTGTAGTGGGCTTGGCCCTTGTCCTAATTGTTTTATTTTATTTTCTCTATTTTCTTTTAGTTTTTTACTTAAAATAATTAAGTTTAGTTCAATCAGGTAATTTCTTTAATTAAATTAGTGATTACTTAATTAATCCCTTATTAATTAATTTTTTATTAATTTAGTTAAATGATTTATTTATTATAATTATTTTAGTTAAAGTTACATAATCTTAATTACCCCTTATTTGGCCTTGACCCGTTTATTTTTTCCTTATTATTGTTTATTTGGTTTTAGTTTTTATGATAATTGTGGACATTTGTCTTAGTTGATTTTTCTTTTATATTAATGATAAATTTATAATTAATGTACTTAGATTAATAAGTAAATAGTATAACATGAATTATTTTCACAAAAAAAACAAAAATAGATTTGATCCAACGTCGAGTATTTTTTCCAAATCAAATTTAACTGAATGCAACACTAAAACGCTTGATCCAAAGCCATTTTTTCCGTTTAACACAAATCTTTTCATAATAGATTTGAAACGCTTGATCTAACATCAAGTAGTTTTACGCATGAAAAATATTTTACTCAATAAATTTGAAAGGCAAAAGAACCTAGGGATGCACATATCTTTTAAATCTTATTGTCGGGTGCTCGGTGCACACCTTGTTCAAAACGACTATTGGTCTTTCAATCTAAAACACATTAATCAAGCATGTAATAAAGGGACAATTGGAAACACATCCATGTGAATCCCGAGTAAACCAGCGCTTGTTGCACACCTTGTTCAAATGTTTACTCATATTCACAAAGACTAAACTTTCATAAAAATGGACGACAATGGACAATGGGATGCAAAACCTTGTGAAGCCTTGGGTAAACGAACACTCGGTGCACACCTTCATCAAACATTTATTTGACTCTAAATAAAATTAATTCAACTCATCAAACTTCTTTTTTCTCCTTTGCACGACCCTAAAAACCTTTTCAGAAATGAGTATGATTTAACCATTTCGATGTGAAACAAACAAACGCTTCATCCTTCAAGAGTGAACAACAAACAGAGCTTTAACTTCTCAAATGTGATTTAAGCACCAGTCTTTAAAAGAAACTAACAAATTTATGGCTTACTACAGTAACACTCCGAATTATAGATTAATTATTTAATTAATTAATTTAGCGTGAATATATGAGTTATTGTGAAGTATTTGATGTATATTATGTTTTGGTGTTTTTATGTGAGTCCTCGTGATGATTTGTAATGTTTCGATGAATATGAAGTATACTATAATGTCAAGATGAATATGAGATTTACAATGATGATATGTATGGTGTAATGGGATTAAGAGGGTTTTTGGTAATTTAGAATAATTATAATAATTGGTTAGAATTATTTTAATTAGAAAAATAGAGTAATATTGGTGTTAGAAGTGATAAGGGAAAAATAGCCAATTGGGAAGAATAAGTGAGGACAATAGTGGAAGACCATATTAGGGGTCCAAGAGGGTAAGTTTGGTATAAGGAAGGTTTGGGAGTTTGCACGATCATTCTGTGGAATCGTAACATTTGGAGAGAGCAATGTGAAGAGGCAAAGCTAGGGCATAGAGAGGCAAGTGGAACTTGTGATAGAACACCAAGGGAATAAAATTGCTGCAATTATCTAAGGTAAGGGGTGTTTATCATTGTTATTATAATAGATCCAAGGTCTAGATAAATGTAGGATGTGTTGTTTTTTAGTGATTTGATGATTGTGTTGCAATTGATGAATTTTAGTTGGAATTGGTGAAAATACCTTGTTGAATTTCCATGAGTTTGCGTATATAATGCCTATAATGTAGTATCGTTATTATATGATTATTATGTGATGAAATCTATGAGGCATTACCATTGTGAATAAAAGTTCGGAAAGTGATGCAATTACGAGGCAAGGGCATCGCCTTATTGAAGGAATTATGGGGTGGACCAGCTGGTGAAATTTGAACTTGGGAATGTGAGGATCAGATGCAAGAGTCTTATCAGATGTTGTTTTCGTCAAGTAATGTTAGAGGGAGAAAATTCTTTTAAGTGCGGGAGAGTTGTTGTTAGAACATAGTTTGGTTCTACATCTTAGTAAGAGTTTTGATGATAACAAATACATGATATATATAAATAACAAATATGGTCTCTAATAAAATTATTTAAATATGCAGAGAAGTTCTGATAAAAGAAGCATAAGAAGTTGACAAACAAATTTGCGCTAAGAAGATCTGAGAAGAATTTTTGTACAAGCTCAATTAAAGTATCACGCTTAATAGAAGAAGTTTTGATGTTATAACTTCTGAAGCACCAAAGTTGCAAGCTAAAATATGATGAAGCAATACTCTGATGATCTAAAGTATCAATGTTAATATTCTTACTCTGATCAGTTTTCAAAGAAGAATGTTCAGATGTATTGCAATTCATTCATTTCAAATCAAAGAAGTAACAGACGGTACGAGACAAGATCTGTTTTTTCTGGAAAGTGCATTTAGAATATTATATCAACCTTCTAAAATCAGAAGATTATGTCTCCAACGGTTCAAATCACTTCCTCTATATAAAGAGACCATGAAGATGGATCAAGATAGAACACACACGTACATATCAAATAAGAGCAATTAAATTCTCTCTTTGTCTCTTGAACTACCATTGTGCTTTAATCTTGTGTAAACATCACAATTGTCATATAGATTTTTAGAAGCAATTGTTAAACACATTATTTCTGTTAGAAAAGTTGTAATTCCTTGAGAAACCAAGTTGTGGTTTAGTCTCAAGAAGACATTGACGGTAGTATTTATGTGTTGTAATCAATATTTTGATTAGTGGATTAAGACCTCGATTGAGACAGGAGAAATCACCTTGGCGGGTAGACTGGAGTAGTTTGAGTTCAAACTAGGGTAACCAAATGTGTCATACTGTTTTCATTTTTGAAAACCCCAATTCAAACCTCGTTTCTTGTGTTTTTCTATCCTTCAATTGGTATCAGAGCTCCTGGTTCTGGGTGCTAACACTTAACCGTGTCAGAAAAAGATCCTAGCATGAAAAACACTATGGTGGGACCAGTTCAGAACAACAACAATGATAAATATGATGAGAAAGACAGAATCAGCGACAAAACTGTAATCTTTGATGGTGAAAACTTTGATTACTGGAGATATAGAATCGAAAGTTTTTTAATAGCTCATGACGCTGATCTTTAGGATATGGCAACTGATGGCTACATTCATCCAGTTGACGCATGCGGTCATAAGATCGACAAAAAGAAAATGACCGATCATCAAAAGAAAGAATTCAGAAATCATCATAAGGCTAGAACAATCCTTTTGAGTGCTATCTCGTACACCGAGTATGAGAACATCACGAACAGAGAATCAGCTAAGAACATGTTTGACTCTATAAGAATGATGCATGAAGGAGACACACGAGTTAAAGAATCAAAAGCTCTTGAACTCATCTAGAAGTATGAGGCCTTCAAAATGGAAGAAGCTGAAACAGTTGAGAGAATGTTCTCAAGGTTTCAAATTCTGGTTGCTGGCTAAAAGTTATGGACAAAGGGTACTCAACAACAGATCATGTAAATAAAATCATCAAAAGCTTACCCAAGAAATGGAGACCCATGGTCCTAACCTTAAAACTAGCCACAAATCTGAAAAAATATCTCTTGAAGAAATTTTAAGCTCTTTGGGAAGTCATGAGATAGAACTAGAAGAAGATAAGCCCAGAAGAAAGGTAAGTCTCTCGCTCTTAAATCTAATAAAAAATATGAAACTAATGCTTTTAAGATAAAAGAAGAAAAGCTGGTGGATCCTTGTCAGAAGAAGACAAACTATCTATTCTATACATTTAAAAGAGGTATTTTAAAAATTCTCTCGATCTCAATTAGAAGAAAGTCTGTCTGAAATTTTCGAATGGTATCAGCAACTTCGAGTCAAATACAAGAACCAGAAACGCGTTCTTGGATCTGAAACTGAAGAAACTAGGAAACAAAAAACGGAAAACTCTGAGCTAAAATAAATTAAATCTAAACATAAAAATGAATTACAAAAAGCTCAAAAAGAATATGTTTCAGAAGTTTCAAATAGTTCTGATAACATCATAAAATAATATGATCACAACTTTCAAAAATTTATAGCTAGAAACATAGATAGAAGCAAGATGGCTTAAATAATCTATGGAGTTAGCAGAAACGGAAGAAAATGCATAGGATATGTGAAACCAAAAGGAGAAGAACCATATTAACCATAGAAATTTGATGATGTGATCATAAAACACACACCTTTAAAATCAAACTTCACATATAGACACACACATGATATAAAACATACTAGTGAATTTTACTCTGCCTATTCTCCTGTGAAACCAAAATTAAATCAGAATTTTGGAAACTCTAACAAACAAGGACCCAAAAAGATATGGGTACATAAGGATAAAATCATCTATGTTGCAGATATCTTTAACAGCAAAGTTGAAACATCAGTCCTGGTACATGGACTCTAGATGCTCTCGACATATGACAGGAAGAAAGCATATGTTCCAAATCTTGGAACTTAGATCTGGAGGATAGATAGGTTTCAGAGGCAATCAGAAAGGAAATATTATTGGCTCTAGAACCATCGGTAACAATACACTTCCCTATA